CGGTATGCTATATCTCCTCAGACTGATTGGACTTTCGGTTTTCCGAAAAACGTCCCGGGACTGTTGGAAAAATCCCATAGACTTAACATTGGACCAAACTTTGTGACCTCGTAACTCTGCGTCAGACTGTCGCACAGAACTCTAACTGGGCTCATTTAACTCAGACTATCAAACTGCCAATGACTGATCACCTTTAAACTTTCTAGCCACGCCCTAGCAACCACTTTTGGACCCTAGAAACTGTCCCATAGACTTCCATTCAAAAGACTCTCATTGACTTAACATGGGATCAAACTTTGTGAGCTCATAACTCTGAAACAGACTATCCTACAGACTAATGGCTGAGCTCATTTAACTCTGAATACCAATCTGCCAATAACTGATGAGCTTTTAACTTTGTAGCCACACCCCTAACTACCACATACTGCACCCTAGCAACTGTCCCATAGACTTCCATTACAAAGACTCTCATTGACTTTACATGGTATCAAACTTTGTGAGCTCATAACTCTGAAACAGACTATCCTACAGACTAATGGCTGAGCTCATTTAACTCTGAATACCAATCTGCCAATAACTGATGAGCTTTTAACTTTGTAGCCACACCCCTAACTACCACATACTGCACCCTAGCAACTGTCCGGTAGACTTCCATTACAAAAGACTCTCATTGACTTAACATGGGATCAAACTTTGTGAGCTCATAACTCAGCATCAGACTGTCATAGAGACTAATGGCTAAGCTCATTTAACTCAGTCTAGCCAGCAGCCAATCACTGATGGCCTTTTAACTTTCTAGCCACACCCCTAACTACCACATACTGCACCCTAGCAACTGTCCTATAGACAGTAATTAGCTGTGCTTTCAAATGCTTATAATTCTAACATGCTAATGACATGCCAATCATGCTAGCAACATGCTACTCATATGCTAATCATGCTAATGACATGCTAACTCATACTGGAAACATGCTAATGACATGCTAATTTGTACTAGAATCATGCTAGTAACATGCTAATTCATACTAGACTCATGTTAATAACTGGCCTACATGCATATCTTTGCATAGCAGTGTCCTATTGACTTGGGGGATGGCTCATCTGACTCAGACAACCAATGAGCATCTCAATATGATAATGAAGCTCACAAGCCACGCCCCCAAATTGATTCCATAGACTTCCATTAAAATAGGCCAAGATGCATATCTTTGCATAGCAGTGTCATAGAGACATGGGGGTTGGTTCATTTGACTTAGACAGCCAACCACATTCAAGTGCACTCTGTAACCTCGCCCATAGCAACAAAACAAAGTACCCTAGCAACCATTCATCAACAGCTATATCTCAGCATCCGAACATCGTAGAGACTTGGAGATTGGCTCGTTTGACTCATGCTAGCAAACGGAACTTCCTATATGCTACACATGCTAGCAGTGATTAGCTACATGCTAATATTGACTAGCCAAGTACTGTAACTTGCTAGACATGCTTACTTAGTTTAAATGTTTTATCAAGCATGTATGTGAGGCTTGCCTAGTAACTACCCAGGGTACCCTAGCAACCACCTAGCAATACCTTAGCAACCACCTAGCAACCACTCCGAACACCCTAGCAACCACCTAGCAACGCCTTAGCAACCACTCAGAATACCCTAGCAACCATCTATCAACTACTTAGGACACCTTAGCAACCACCTAGCAACACCTTAGCAACCACCTAGCAACCACTCAAAACACCCTAGCAACTGCCTAGCAACACCTTAGCAACCACCTAGCAACCACTTAGGACACCCTAGCAACCATCTATCAACACCTTAGCAACCACCTAGCAACACCTTAGCACATGCTAATTCGTGCTAGAATCATGCAAACAACATGCTAATTCATGCTAGAATCATGCTAACAACATGCTAACTTCATGCTAGAATCATGCTAATTCATGCTAAAATCGTGCTAGTAACATGCTAATTCATGTTAGAATCATGCTAGTAACATGCTAATTCATACTGGAATCATGCTAGTAACATGCTAATTCATGCTAGAATCATGCTAATAACATGCTAATTCATACTGGAATCATGCTAGTAACATGCTAATTCATGCTAGAATCATGCTAATAACATGCTAATTCATACTAGAATCAACCTAATGACATGCTAATTCATACTAGACTCATGCTAGTAACATGCTAATTCATACTGGAATCATGCTAGTAACATGCTAATTTATGCTAGAATCATGCTAATAACATGCTAATTCATACTGGAATCATGCTAGTAACATGCTAGTTCATCCTATAATCATGCTAGTAACATGCTAATTTATGCTAGAATCATGCTAGTAACATGCTAACTCATGCTAGAATCATGCTAATAACATGCTAACTCATACTAGAATCATGCTAATAACATGCTAATTCACACTAGAATCATGCTAATTCATACTAGAATCATGCTAGTAACATGCTAATTCATGCTAGAATCATGCTAGTAACATGCTTATTCATGCTAGAATCATGCTAATAACATGCTAATTTAGACTAGAATCATGCTAGTAACATGCTATTTCATACTAGACTCATGCTAGTGACATGCTAATTCATACTAGAATCATGCTAATAACATGCTAATTCATGCTAGAATCATGCTAACAACATGCTAACTTCATGCTAGAATCATGCTAATTCATGCTAAAATCGTGCTAGTAACATGCTAATTCATGCTAGAATCATGCTAGTAACATGCTAATTCATGCTAGAATCATGCTAGTAACATGCTAATTCATACTGGAATCATGCTAGTAACATGCTAATTCATGCTAGAATCATGCTAATAACATGCTAATTCATACTAGAATCATGCTAGTAACATGCTAATTCATCCTAGAATCATGCTAGTAACATGCTAATTTATGCTAGAATCATGCTAGTAACATGCTAACTCATGCTAGAATCATGCTAATAACATGCTAACTCATACTAGAATCATGCTAATAACATGCTAATTCACACTAGAATCATGCTAATTCATACTAGAATCATGCTAGTAACATGCTAATTCATGCTAGAATCATGCTAGTAACATGCTTATTCATGCTAGAATCATGCTAATAACATGCTAATTTAGACTAGAATCATGCTAGTAACATGCTATTTCATACTAGACTCATGCTAGTGACATGCTAATTCATACTAGAATCATGCTAATAACATGCTAATTCATGCTAGAATCATGCTAATAACATGCTAATTTATACTAGAATCATGCTAGTAACATGCTAATTCATACTAGACTCATGCTAGTGACATGCTAATTCATACTAGAATCATGCTAGTGACATGCTAGTTCATACTAGAATCTTGCTAATAACATGCTAATTCATGCTAGAATCATGCTAATAACATGCTAATTCATGCTAGAATCATGGTAGTAACATGCTAATTTTACTACAATCATGCTAATTACACACTAATTCATGCTAGAACTATGCTAGTAACATGCTAAATCGTGCTAGAATCATGCTAATTCATGCTAATAACATGCTAATCCATGCTAGAATCGTACTAATAAGATGCTAATTCATGCTAATAACATGCTAATCTATGCTAGAATCATGCTAATAACATGCTACTTATACTTTTTCAAACTGTTTTTAAACTAAATAAACTATTACCAACAGGCTTTGTCAAGCCAGCCTCAAAGTTTGTCTCGACGAACTTTACTGTCTAGTTTATTTATTGAAATCTTTTTTTTCCTCTAGTCAGTGCACTTGGATGGTACCTCTTACCAGCTTATTGCATATAAACATTGGATATGTTTTTTCCAGGCAAGCATTTTTGTTTTTAAAAGATGTCTAAACATAATCATCTTGGCTAAAATAAGGGCTAAATTTAGGCTGTCAGTGAAAATCTAACAGACGTCTAATAGGCCAAAACTAGACTAGTCATTGAATGAACAGAAATGAATGACTACACATATAACGTCTGAGCAGCATCCACTAGTGTGGGTATCTTCAGGCCAGCGGGGGGTTGGGGGACAATTTAAAAGCACTTCTCAGTCTACTTGGACCCAAGAAATGGAGTGAAAAACTAGTGGAAATTTAGCAGGAGCACCTGTGTCTGTTTGAAGTGTCATCTGAGCAATACCACAACCAGGTCAAAAAGGAATAAAGTTGAAGAGAAATTGCTAACTCCCCTCAAAACCCAGGTGAGCAAAATAAGTTCATTTTCTACCCGACTAAAGGCTTCTTTCTCATTATGTAGTTAATAACAAAAGATATACTACGTGAACTCTCATTGTTTCTATGTCACTTCTCGCTTGTTTGGTTGTGAGTGATGTAGTTTTCAGACCGAGACAAAGTTGTCGGCAATTCTTCCTACTGCAAAGTCATGCAGTATGACACCCCCCGTCACTGATCTATCCTAAAGCGTAAATAAAGCAGCGACGAAAGGCAACCCCAGATAGCCATGCAGTGTGAAAACACCTGTGACACGACTACTTTGAAAATCGTGCAGTCTTAACTCGGCATTAAATGTCTATTAGATTTTCAGTAACAGCCCATGTTTAGCCTTGTTTTAGCCAAGCAGACTACATTTAGATGTCTATTAGACATCTATTAAACACAAAGTTGTTTGCTGGGTTACTGTATTTGGTTTGTGTGTCAATTGTTTTGTTATTGTAGTTCTATTTTGTATATTAAAACCAATAAACTAATAATAATAATAATAATAATAATAAAATAATAAAGTCTCCTGTTGTTCAAACGTTCCAAAATCAAGTTTTAGATGTTCCACATGCGATTTTTTATTATTAAATAAGCACACCTTGCCTAAAAGTTATTCTCCAAAACATTGGTTTGATAAAGTATTTGACTATTATATATTACTAAATATAATAGTCATATGACTATTATATAAGAGAAGTTGTGGTTGTGGTTGTTCTGCAAGACTATAAACATTTCATGCATCAGTTTGTCAAGTCACTGTTGATTTGATGTTCTTACTTTTTAAGGAACTCTGCCTGGCTGCAGATTTTGAGCAGATAATCGTCCACGTCAATCATATCCAGGTCATCGTGAGCATAGCAGAGGGTCTGATAGATCAGCAGGTCGATTGTTGAGGATCCTGAGGGATGAAGAGAACAATATTGATATTACTTGCATGAGAAGTAATCATTTTCCAACAGGGGTTGACGGGTAACTACATTTATCAGTTATGCAGTGTCACTATTCCAATGACCCACAACATTTCTGTTAAATAGGACATTATAAAACAACAGACTTCTATTTTTATTGTGACATTTACAAGTGAATTGAGGCAACAACACACTTTTCTAAAGGCCCTGACACAGCAGACCATGGAATCAGTCAGCTCATATTTCAGTTGAATATTATCAGTAGTTTCTTTTTTTTTTTTTTAACAATTCTGTTGCCACTATCCACCCACAGCCAACTTTGATTGGCTGTTCAGTGACAAGTTGAGTGAACGAGTGTGCTTAAATTTAAATGCAAGAGTGACAAAAGTGAACAACAAATTCAAGATGACTACACATTGCAATGCATGCAGTCTGCTATTAAGTAAATGATAAACATTCAGAAAGTGCTGATTTGTTTATTGTTTGAATAATTAAATACTAACTGATACAGTCTCTCCCACACACATATCATACCTGCTAGTTGGCTGTGAATTGTAGTCTTTGAAATGTGTTGAAGTGCAAAATTTTAGCCCAGATGCATGTGACAAGGTGACAACCCAGTCGACTTAGATCCACACTAGTTTTTTGATGCTGGTTTGGTGTATAATCAGAACCGTAAAATGCCTCTGTTCTTAAATACGCTATTGTTTAAAGTTTTGGGTTGGTAAGAACACTTAAAAAAATGTAGAATTAAAACTACAGGAAAGATAGATACGCAGTGTTATAAAATATTTTTACAATTTAAAATTAGCCAAACATTTGAACGCCGGTGCAAGCAAAAAGGAAGGTCTAAAAGTAAGCAGTGTCTCAAATCAAAAACAAATATTTAATAAGTTTAAGAGTAAACAAGCAAGCAAACAAACAAAGGGGAAAGAACAACTACAAACAAGAATTGACCACACGGAAAAGAATAAATCAAACAGGTGGAACAGATTCTTAAGGTGATGAAAGGTAAAACAAGGCACAGGTGAGACAAATCAGCAACAGAAACAGCAGAACAGAAAAACAAGTGAAATTTGTCCATGAAACTTTTAAAGTTTTAAAGTTCAAACTCAGCAATTTATTTGAACAGCTCAGACTGTGCATATAAGAGATAAATATTTTGACCTACCACTACCGATCACCTCTATATTTTATTTTATATTAAAAATAAGCAATATTTATTTACAATATCCCTTTAACTGCCTGCTTCACCAAATGGTGGACCACATTTGACTGCTCTAAATAATGACTGTTAAAGTCATTTTAAAAATAACTTTAAAATAATGTTTTAAATAATGGTTTACACACACAGCAGTGTTGGTTTACAAAAAAAAAAAAAAAAAAACAAGCATAAACGTGCTGCACTATTACACTTGGTTTTGGTTTTATTGTAAAATTTTTTTTTAAATAAATAAAAATAAACAAACATACAAGAAAGCATGTTAAACGTGAATCTGACATTTTTTGGCATACTTCAAAACATTTAAGGAATAAAAATATATAAACACTGTCTGTTCTATTTTCTCGTTTCTATTGATTAATAAGGTTCAGTAGAGTACACAATTATTTCAGTTTCCACTGTCAGAAGGTGTGAATGGCACCAAAATAGCAAACTGTACCACTTTCTTATAATCCTTTTGTAAGGGTACCTAGCACAATAGTATGGTACCTAAAGGGTGAAGCTCTGCAGAAAACTGTCACTTAATGTAGTACAAAGAGTTAATGATTGGAAGTTTGGATTTTTTGTGAAAACCAGATCCTTTGGACCGTTCATTTGAAAAAACTGGTTTAAAAAAAGAATCATGGATTCTTTTATGCTACAACGTAAAGATTTCATCCGCAACAACAATCCTCCCAAGCTAGAAAACACCAATACATAGTCAGCAATCATAATTTTAGTCAGTTAAAACATCACCATTATCTAAAAGGTTCTTACAATTAGGTTTTGCTACCCAAATAAAGCATAATTCAATTGCCATTTAAATTTTATTACGACATCAAATCAGCCTGTCAATCTGTGTTCGGTTCACCTCTGTCTAATAAAGCACAGTATTATCAGTTCACCGGTCCTCAAATGTGATCTCAATGTACTGCTTTAGTAACTTGGCTTTTAGGAAACTAACTTCCCATATCCACTGTAAAACAACAAAAGACACTGGTTTAATTCTTTGCCAACAAAAGGCACACTAAGAAACAGAGTAGCTGCCCCGTGTGTCTTAAAGGTATTGGTTTATCCAGAGCTAGATCAATAAGAGGTCATCAATTAGTGACGTGTCAGCACAGCCATTCCTGAAAATGGACACACTGCCAGATGCTCTCGATACAGTAAATTAGCAAACTACTGATCTGAATACCCTCTGTGGTCAGCAGACAAATGAAAACAAAGGAGTTGGGAATTTTCCCCTGATTCACAGCAATGTTCGTCACTTCACTGCGAGGATGTGAAATAAATGAGCGGAGGTAGGGATGAGCCAGAAAAAGGTTAATCCACCCTTCCCCCCATGCCACAAATTACACTCTAACTGGGCAGATGCACTGCACTGCGGTCACCGTGGGAGCACATTTAGGAGAAAACACCCCTGGTCTCTCTCTCTTTTTCTCTGGGCTTCTCCAAACTTTCTCAATAATGAATTGGATAGCTCTCTCTTGGAACATTAGTCTTGAGGGTGGGCTTTTTTTTCCCCTGAATGGACTCAGATAAACTCATGCCAATGTGAGACAGCAGAAAGGGGAGAAACTAGTGTAGATGGAAAGAGAGAAACAAGGCATTTGTAACCCAAATGAGTTCTGCAAGGCATCATTTCCACTGACAAAATGAGAGATTTCTTACTGGTAGTTATAAAAAAGCATTGTAAGTTACTAGTTTTCCACATAACGTGTAAACATTGCAGTTTGGTTTGACATTTTAACTGACCTTTTTTTACTTTTGATAGAAAGACTGGGGTTGTAAAGACTGCCTTCTTACGGAGAGTGGGAAAGGAGCTACAGCTCATTTGCATTAAAGTAGGGCTGCACGATATTGGAAAAAAACTGACATTACAATATTTTCTTTTTCTGCGATTTATATTGCAATATGAATATAATTTCACAAGATAACTTTAGTAACTATTTGTAAAGACTTCATCATTTTCTTTTGATTGGGATTTTGTAGACGAGTTCAGATTTTTTGGGAGAAAATTACCCAAAATGAATGAAATGGATGATGGATAAAAACAATAGCACAATGATAGAAATTAAATAAACAGCACTTTATGGGTTTTGGTGGTGTATTGAGGTACAGAAATTCAATAATCAAATCGTCACCTTGGAATTAAAAGGTTCTATCCGCATTCTGAATGATTTTGAGATATTGAGCTTCAAAGTTTTTGCATTCCATACAAAACAAAATTTTTTTTTTTTTAAATAAAAAGTCTAAAATTGTAAACACCTTCTAGAAAAACATCCCATAATGTAAATAAGTTGTCATTTAATAAGAATATGTCAATAACTCCATGACAAAAATGTCAGATAGTATTTTATAATTCTAAGGTGACAAAATGTAAAATAACTTTGCATGGAGTTTTCATTGTATAAATAAACACATTCATTCTTTGTTTAAGTGGCAGACTGTATTATTTATTATGCCCAAATAGTTCAAGTTCACTTAAAATCTTAGTCACAGGCCTTAAAACCGCATCAAAAATCTATTACACCATTATATAAGGTTTAAATTTTTCAATCACATCATGTGCTCTGAAATGTTACCTGGTTAATTATCATCAAAATGAAACTTGACATTGTAGATCCTGCAATGGGTCTATTGTTCGCACATTGCGATATCAATGCTGAAATTATATATTGTGCAGTCCTAATTTGAAGATAAAAATGTTTCCTTCTAAATGGGCATGTGCATCATAGCATAATACATAATCTGTAAGGTACTTTGAGCTGAGGAGACAACTTGTACATCTTGTAAAAAAAAAAGAAACAAGGTGTTGGGAAATTAATTATTAGAACACTATTTTTCAATGTTTAACTATTGTTTTTGATTAGGGCTGCAAGATACTGGAAAAATATGCAACTTGCAATATTGTTAAAAATTATTGCAATAATAACGTTTCTTAAGATATACAGTTTCCTTAGAAAAATGCTATTTACAAGCTGTTTTTTAATTAATTTATATATTTAATATTTTAAAATAAACAGATAAAGTATGTTTTTTCAGATCTAATTCAGACAAAAAAAACTGTCATGGTGTAAACATTGAATCTTTAAAACACTATGAATGAGTGAAAACCTCATCAGATATTCTGACTCTGATTGGCTGCAGTCATTTTTCTTTCTTCTAATGACTTCCGCCATAAGTATTTACTTTCATCTCTGGGTTTGCCTTTGGGCCACTTTAGTCTATAGCAGAACAGCAAATAATGGGGAGTTGGGGATAAAGATAGTGAGGCAGCTAAGGCTCCATCTGATTGGTCAAATTTAGATAAACAACTAATTCATAAATTCCCAGAGATGGGTTGCGGCTGGAAGGGCATTCGCTGCGTAAAAACTTGCTGGATAAGTTGGCGGTTCATTCCGCAGTGGCGACCCCAGATTAATAAAGGGACTAATCCGACAAGAAAATGAATAAATGAATGAATGAACTAATACATAAATGGTAATTTACCTCTCAAATGCAAGAAATATATTGCATACTATTATCACTATAATAATCATTTTGCAGCCCTATTTTTAACTCCTTATTTAAGTAAATTGTAAAACAAACAAGCTAAATCAGTAATTTACATTATTACAATGCACACTATTATAGATGCATATTTTACATGACACTATGTAAATATGCCTAAATAACCAGACTACTCAACTTTCACAAGCTATGCTTTAAAGGCCTAAGAAAACATTTCCAGGCCCTGTAGACTATTTTAAGATGACCTGCATCAATTTCACTAACATTTAGCAGAACTCACAGCTGCTTATGACACAAATGGGAACCCACGTTAGAATGGCACCACAGTCCACATTCATCGTACACTGGCAGGCTGCCATGATAAAGGGCATCTGTCAGGCAAATCATGCCAGAGCAGGAAAAACAAAAAACCTGAGTGTAGTGAATAAATGAGAGTGAAAGCATGTTCATGTCATATTTCTCAGCCCCTCTCTAATAACTCCACATGAGACCAAATCTGTTGGTGTCTTCGCGAGTGTGCGTGTATGAGGGGGCTTGTGAGTGTTCCTTCAAGGCGAGTAAATGAAAAGCTGCCTCTTTTAATTGAGTACACAAAACAGATGGCTGGCAGAATGCCCATTCAGTGTAATGCTATTAAGAGAATTCAGGGTCTAGAGCCTCTTCAGTCTTTCCAATGAGATCCTGTGGCCCAATTCAAACTTTAAGGATGTAGGACAGAAAATACAGCTCCACAATTGTAACCAAGTAAAAACAACTCCACAATTATAATCAAGTAAGAACTGAAATAGCACAGTTTATAAAATCTGCATTGTTAGATTCGAAATGATTGAATGCTTACCGTCGCACGAAAAGGTGAGTGGTTCTCTGAAGTGGTCACTGTAAACGGTGACCTTTATGCTGACACCCAGGCCCTGCTGCAGTTCATCTTGCGCCACACAAGGGCTCCAAACAAAGCCTGAATTTTTAGAGTAGTCGTTGCAAGGGTAAGCCGAACGCAGCCTGATAAAACAGTGAAGTTTATGAATAAATGAGTGAATGAACATTAATAATTAGTAACTTCATTGTTACATTAAAATTGCATTATTGCATTATTACATTCTAGCATTTTTAAAAGTGAATACTATAGACACTAGGGGTGCAACAGTTTAATCTACTGAAGGTTCAGTATGCATGCCGGTTTTAGGGTGACTGTTTGTGTACGGTACGGTATGTGCTATAATTTATACTTAGAAAAAAATGCTTACAGAACAATTCAAAGAACAATAAACATATTTATTGGGTAACAAACACCTGACAATCCAAAAGCTTTACACAAATGACTGTAGATTTGCATGTTCTTGCATTAATTAAATTAAAATAGGGCATTTTGAAAATTGTGCAAATAAATAGCTTAAGAAAATAAAGAGAAAAAGCTTAAATTTCCCCTCTTTCAATATAACATCCTGACTCAACATCTTAACTAATTAAGCAGATAATAATCATAAACACAATTAGAGTATTGATTACTTTTGTTTGCATTATGCTTGCATTACCAAGGCAACAACGCATTTTTATTTATGATTTCATTATGATTCCATAAAGCTCCGTTTCACTTAAAAGCACAATAGTAGTGAATGAAACTTAAGCAAAGAGAGAGCGTTCAGCTCTTTACTCTTAATTCAGCAGGAACAGTCAGTCGAGAAGAAAACTGTTCTTAGCTGTTCTTAGCAGTTCTTAGCGGGTAAACAGAGTGTATAGCAGGAGTGATCGGGTGCGGAAGAACACAGAGCAGTTGCGGGACTGAAGTAACAGACCTGCTGTATGTCGGTGTCTGTATACTTCTGGGTCTAAACACGGACCTCGATCCACCTATTAGTGACCACTGATCTAGGTAGGCAGAACTGCTTGATTTCAGTTGTTTTTATTAACAAATCAATATTAATAATGCATTCTGACCCGCGGATCACAGGGCGCACTGAACCGTGGGAGGACAACGAGACAATTTGGTTTTTACAGAGAATCATTGCATCCCTAATAAACACTGTGAAGGAAAATCAAAACAAAGCAACTCACAAATCAAGTACATGACAGAAGGCCGCAACTTCTTCATCTCTTTCTTCAGACACCTGAAAGAGCTCATAACCAAAGCCATTTGGCCTGGACCCCAGAGACACCTATGAGGATTTACATATATATAAAATTAATAAATAAACACACTCATGATGACTTTAAATAAAACAAAACAGCTTAAAACGAACTGAGAGTACTAATAAAATGATATAGTTAAGTATTCATACAAGCATTGATATAACTGAGATGATTTACCAGTGAGTTTAACAGAATTGAGGTACAGAAATTGAAATATCAAACCTAATGTGATAACAATGCATAATATATGACGCATGTGATCTCTAATATTCCCTTTCATTGGTAGATTGACATAAATAACATAACAGGTAAGGTTGCTGTCTCTTTAAGACCGAATACATAGATCCCATATAATGTCACTACAGACGTTGTGACTGTTTATGATGCTCGCTAACATAAAAAGTTTGAAGATCTTTGAATCCGTGTCCATTCAAGCATAAAAAGACAAGAAATAGATGCTTGAATATGCACATGGGCATACAACAGTGCATGAATTTCAACATTTGTCTTAACCCTTAAATGTCAAGTTAAATTTGGTTTAGTATTTTGTTTCAACAAATTTAAAGCCTGTTGTCTATGATATTGGGCTCTTGTCATTCAGTGAAATGGCAGTAAAGCTCTGCTTGTTGTAATGGTTGTATATGCTACGTTAAAGGGGAAATTAAGTACTTAGTCAAGTTCACCTTATTTTGTACATTGGATTCCACTTTTATGAAAATATATTAAACAAACTCGACTAATGTAAGCATTCAGCAGAAAACGACATGTTTTACTATAGATTTTAGACCTAGGTCGCAGCCATCTTGGAATGTCGCTGTGTCTGACGTCACGGGGTTGGTTGAGTTCCCTGCGCTGAACAGAAACAACGGAAGTAAAGGTGACCGTAAAGCCCACTTTAACCCAATGTGTGAAGTTGTGGACGTGGAGCTGCTGCAAATACAAGCATGAGATGTGTGTCTAATATAAAAAAGTATAGTTATTTATTCTATTTTTTTTCCCCCCCTTTTAATTATTGATCATTTGATGCGCTTTGATTCACTCTCTGTATTACACTGCCGGACTGGTTTTAACGAACTGAACACAGATACTTGACAGCCTAATTTAACCCAATGCATTGGGTTAATAGTTGTTGTGGACGAGCAGCACAGAGCTGCTGCAAATAAAAGCCTTTAAGTGTCTTCAGTTGTGTATTTTTCTTTTGTAAATACTGTTCGTTTGATGCACTGTGGTCCACTCTCTCCCGCTGCTCCAGCACTGCCTGACGAGGGCATTTACATTCAGACTAATACAACGATTAAAATCATACATGACTACACGCTTCACTAAGTCACTTCTGTGTGGGTTATGTCAAGGAATATTCCCTTATCAAGTCGATCAAGTAGATCTCTCAACATGTATGAAGGATAAAAACCTGCCATGAGAAACACTGCGCAGACCTGATCTTAGTTTAAAAATGGTTTAAACATAACCAGAGGTGAAGGGCTGTTGCAGTGAAACGTGAAAGTACTCACCCCCATTACGTCAGTAATGATTCACTCTCTGTATTATGCTGCTTGACTGCCTGTGGTTTCAACTAGGTCCGTTGCTGAAGTAATGGGGGTGAATACTTTCACTTTTCACTGCTACAGCCCCTCACCTCTGCTCATGTTCAAGCCAAACTAAGATGTTTCTCATGGCAGGTTTTTGTTATAACATAACATAACATAATAGGGATGCACGATATATCGGCGGCCATATCGTTATCGGCCGATAAATGCTATTTTTAAGATTATCGTTATCGATCGGATGTCTAAATTTGGCCGATATCTTTAAGCCGATAAATTACGTAATTGTACAGACCTGCGTGCCGTGCACGCGTGGGTGGAACTTGTTCAGACTTGCCCAGTGCACTATAATGGATCTCTCCCACATTGTTTATTCCTTGAAATTCTGTCATTTCTTCATGTGGTATTGCTGTGCGTTAATAAGTCAGTAAGTAACCATGTTCCTTATCATTGTAGATGTGTTTGATTGAGTGTCAATGTGCATTTTGCTTTAAATCGCCTCAGGAAAAATATTACATGTGTAAACTTTTCCTGCTCCGTCTCTTTGTTGTGTAGAGATAGCAGGGGATCTTAACTTATTACTCCAGGGCCGAATAATGTTAGTTTCGTGGTGAATTGCCTTTTCTTTTAGTTGCAGCCAGTGAATGAACGAGGATACATGTAACTTGGTCCAAAATATTTATTACTTTCCGTGTGGTACAACAAATCAGTCTCCTAGTCTCATTGCCCAAAAACCGCTCCTCTCTCTCTCCCTCTCCCTCTTCGCTTCACACACACACCCCAAACTGCAGCTGGACCCGCACATTTTACAACATGTGTAAACATAACGGTTGTTTGTAATCTGACTATTTGTTATTATCAAAGCGTTGCTGGTCATGTGTTGTTGTTGATGTAAGATGTTTTCAGTTTGATCGGAATATTCATATTGATTTTAACGAGCATGCGAGCGGTCACCGCGCGCACACACACACACTGTACACACACACACTGTACACACACACACTGTACACACACACACTGTAGCACGGGGGAGAGGTGAGAGGTGAATCCAGTCATAGAGGCTCTGGACCAGCCGCTCATTCTGTCTTTATATTCAGCTCTGTGTTTGCCATTAAGTCTTCTCAATGCAGGTTTTGTATGAAAATCTGACTCTGATGGCAACTCTGCCTCTACAGTTGAGTAAAACTCTCAGCTGTTTATCATAAACTTTTCATCGATCATTTTCCCCGCAATTGACAACAAGAACGAGCGCAGAAGCGTCTGATTGACAAGCAGCTCCTACATGACATGTCAAAACGCCAAATAGGATGAATCTGTGCCGCATTTTCTAAACGTACTATATATATTTAGCTGTTCGCTTGTACGGTGGCTCTGAACTGTCAAAACACCTCCAAAAAAGGCTTTTTAGGACATGACATATTTGTACATGTGTACATCACTGTAACATGTTTTATTCATGACCATTTGAGCTGGTTTTAGTCCTTAGCCCTTTCATATTCATCTTATTTAAATATTTTTAACTTGCTTGTTAATTAAATACCATTATTTTATTTAAACTATTATTTTATGCAAGAATCAACTTGCATGTTAATTTGCTATGAAGAAAAGGAAATAATTTTCTGCATGCAGATTTATGTGAAATCGTGAATATAGGTCTATGATCACCTTGCAATTTTGAAGTTAAAGCTTTTTTGCTTTGAGTATAGACTATTTAGTTCATAAGAGCAGTTCAATCATTTATGAAGTTTGCAGTATAAAAATATATCATTTTGAAATATTTATAAACATCGGACTATACATATCGGCTATCGGTCTCCAAGTCTGAAGAATTATCGGTTATCGGTATCGGCCAAAAAATCCATATCGGTGCATCCCTATAACACAACATAACATAACATAACATAACATAACATAACATAACATAACATAACATAACATAACATAACATAACATAACATAACATAACATAACATAACATAACATAACATATCATCTCTTACCGGATCTACAGATACTCTGCGCTGGCTTCTAGTGCTCTTCGGTGTGGGAAGATATGTGCGAGGAGGAATCTGAGGAGGAAGTGTATTACTGCGAGCGACTGCCTTCCCTGATTTGTCTCCATTTGCTCTCCGACTTCTACCAGGCGACAGCCAATCCCCGTTTATCTTACTCAAGGAGTCATTGAGGTTATCATAGTTCAGCGTCTCTCCGAAGGAAAGCTTGGGTTGGTCTACCTCAGGAGTGAATAAGTTGACATCCCGTGGTGCTGAACTTCTATGGACAATGAATGGATCATTTTGGGGGATTGGATTTCTGGGCGGTACCGGTGGGGGAGGCTCATCCAGAGTTGGAAGACCTTTCGACAACATTTGCGATGTTCCTTTGAAATCGCTTTCCCATTCGTCCAGGATATACCTCGGCTCCTTTGTGAATCCATGGGATTCGCCGCTGGATCGGGATAGGTTCGACACCCCGGGTTGAACGTGGTTCAGCATGGGGTCAGATCCGGAAACGCCCTGCTGCTGTAAATTATTCCAAGAGGGACTGGGAACACGTCGAGGCAGAGACGACTCGCTCCGTGAGGGCGATGATTTGCTGCTGTCCGGAGGAAGCGTACTTGATGTGCCCTTGTCCTGTCGATGACGGGCAAGGGCGTCATACTCCATTTGCAAGGCCTCTGCAAGGACCAGCTCCTTTTGGCTGAGGCCGAGCGATTCCAGACAGCCCCAGCGCTGCTCCCGGTCATTCTGAGTCTGCGCTGCCGACATGTTCCTGTAGCAGCGCACAGGAGGAACACAGGAAGGAGCTTGAAGGCACTACGAGTTGCACAACCTCTTCATCAGGCTCTGTAAAGAGATAAGAGGGAAGCAATAAGGAACATGCTGCTGTTGTTGTATGCCAAAGACAGAGATTACAACATCACGGCCCGGTATGCCTTCCACGTAGGGATCATTTATATAGTAAAACTAGTAACTAAACAAACAACATGTAGCGGTCGACAAACAAATAAAGCAAGAGGAGCTAAGCGAGGGAATAACTTTGAACCGTCAATCATTTTGCATGCGTGTCTTATTTAACTCATTGCATATTTAACAAACGTAAAGACAAATCAAAACCAAAATAAAGGATGAATAATATGATACGGTTAACAAACAAATATGAGCTCCTCACTCACCCCCTTCCTTCCTCTGGCTGGCTACACCCCAGAACAGGTGCTTTAATTACTCACTCACGTTTTCCCTTAGTCACATGACATCACACATTATACATTACATTTACATGGTTCCTATACCTCATGTTAAAAGTGATTTCAGAGAAGCTATCAGTTGCTAAAGCTAAAGATCCAGCCCACCCTGGATATTCATTGACCAAAGTGACGCCTCTTTTAAAGCACATGAACACGGAGAGGCAGTCACGGTGTTACTTTAAACCTGAGACTAGGAATGACAAGCCGAGAGGGAGATTACAACAGGTCTCATTTACCAGTGAGAAAACATTACAGATCAAAGTGCATACTACAGTAGCAGTAATTAATAACATGCATATATATATATATATATATATATATATACATACATACATACATACAAGTACAAACTTACTCCCTTGCTAAAAAGTCAACTAAAAGTACTGCAAGTGACAGTAAATCTAGTAGCAAGTAACAGCAAAGTACAATTTCATAGTTGTTTGCTAATTTAAGTAAATATCTTTTAAGTTCTTTTTTTTTACCAAACACTCACTGCATTTTAGCAGTAAAAAGCTAAAATACAGATTATGGAGCTGAAGCTTCACAACAAAATTAAGTCAAAATCAAATCGAAAACACAATATCGGTCAAAAAAAAAAAAAAAATAATTGCACATCCCTACAACAGAGGCACGGCCAACGTGAATGTGCACCCTATACTGACACTGAGAATAAGAAACTGTTGAGTAAATAATTTTGTTTTATGTGCGCACAGAAGTATTCTGGTAGTCTGATAATATCCCAATGGAACCACACAAATCATATGATCTGTTTAAGGATTGTTTGATTCAAGACTTGGAATGAGCCAGGAATTTTATGTCTATGGAGCTTCAGTGAGCTCTCAGACTCCCCTAAAACATCTTTGTGTTCTGAAGATGAGTGAAGGTCTCAGAGGATTTGTAATGAACTACACCTTTAAGTATTATATTCCATGTCACTGTTAAACGAAGACTGTAAACTAATGAAGATGGATGATATAAGCATCTAGTCTAGAATGCATATCAAAATAAAAGTCCTGATTCCAATAGGAAAAACTTGATTTGCCTTTGCTGTAAACTAGTAGATCACTATAGAACAATCTATGTATATCAAGATGTAATATAGGGATTTATTCATGTGCATTTTGAAAATGGATAGATTTGATTAAGATTTGATTTTGCATGGGTGTTAAATAAAGGCATAAGTATGGACTGAATGTAAAAACACAGGAAAGCAGTACAAACAAACCTCCAATATTAAAATCTCATACATCAGACAATATGGCACACATACACCAAGCATGTCTTATAACTAAAAACAGCTAAGTGAATGATTAATAACATAATGACAGAACCATTTAACTAACGAACCCCATGAACTATACATAGATCAAAGAGCCACATGTTGTCACAGACGCTAAACATGTTCAGAAGAGGGCACACGTGTGATGCTGATTTTGATTGTCTTTGGCTCCGATCATCTGACTCTTATTGTCTTCGCTTGCTCAGCAAAAGACCGAGCCAAGCAAATCTTTCTCTTTCAGCACAGTCATCAGCACAGCGCAGGTTGTTCTGCAGCACGACAGTTCCGGCGCATTAGGGGGAGGGAAGTGGTTTTCTCTACTGCACGGAGACTGATGTGCCATATTAAGAGGCCTGTTCCTGTGGAGTCACAGCTGGACAGACGCTAAGCTTCGAATTTAAATCGACCTGAAGACCTGCTGAGTGCTGCTCAAATGGGTTTAGTGTTCGATCAGCCTCACTACACATGTGGCGTGACACAGCTGCCATTCCACGGACATGCACAAACCATTGGGTTTAATGGTCATCCAGGCATAAACAATTCTAAATGGGTTCAGCTGGAAAAGGCTAAGGTCAGACTGTTTTCTGGAATCATGGTAACTGTTACGACATGAAAAAATATAGTCCTAGACTCAAATGTCGTTAAAAAGTGGTATATAACGTAGTTTAAAATGAAATAGGCCATGGCTCAGTAAAGAAGTTTAAAATGACAGTACACACAAAAATGAAGACTGCGCTGAGGAGTTTGTATAGCTGAGTTTAGCATGATGCTCACATATAATGTTTTTCAATTATCTTTGTTTGCATTAGCTAAGTGTCATGTGCTTTACCATGGCAGTGTTTGGTAATGTAATATCATGTATTTTTATTTAATGCCATGTCGACAACCAAGGCTATTTTCATGGCAGGGACATTTCAATAATACATGTGCAATTAAAAATCAACAACTATATGAATGCATAAATAAATAAGATTTTTTTGTGTTAACATGATATAAATTCTTAAGAGAGTTAATTTCATAAAAAAAAAAAGTCTTGACAATGTTTGGTGGATGTGTGAATGACACCGTGGAGCTGCTATATATTAACATTTAATTCCAGTTTGTGGAAAAGCTGTTAGCGATGAGCTCTGATTGATCATGTGGTTGTGTGCGACAATACAAATGAACATATTACTTTGTCAGATTTTATATTAACATTGTATCAATTAATGAAGTCAATTCAACTTTACTTTAAGTTAAATTGAATAAAAAATAATTGATTGTAAATTCAACCACAACTGTCATTTTCATTTACTATATTTTTTTTATACTGGGTGTCTTTATTAATTCATAATAGTAATAAACAAAAATTAAGGCCTAATCCCAATTCTATTTTTGTACCCTTAACCCTTCCACTTGGCCCTTGAAAAAGAGTGTGTAGGGGAAGGGCTTCGAAATGTTACCCTAAGAAATGGGACAGCACAACACCTGCACACGTCATCTATGTAATCACAAAAAAACAACCCTAACGTTATACCAGACACTGTAAAAAGCTCATTCCCAGACACTAGACTTCTCTGACCGGTTATTCGAGTGTCATCGATTGACAAAATGTTGTGGGACTACTATACAGGAGTAAGTACTATGCATAATAGATATTGAAATTTTAGTGGTTTTTTTTTTGTGTGTGTGTTTTTTTTTTAAAGCATGACGGTAAAACACAAACGCCGTTATGAATATTAAAACATATGCGTGTTTGTTGTTAAAAGGGGAAGAGCTAAGAGGTTGAACTGAGATTGGGCCTAGTTCAATGGAGTCCAAAACAACATAACTGAACTCCAAAGATTTACTGAAGATATGTTTACTCAATGCACTAAAAACAGAAAAAAAAGAAGAAAAAAAAAAAAAAAAAAAAAAATATATATATATATTCTCTACAGATTGCAAAGTTAAAAAAAAATAATTTCTGGTTAGACACAGTTATCACAAATTCACTTTTCTATATTTTACACTGATACAATAACAGTATCACTTTCAAAAAAAACAGCAATTTTCAAATGTTTGTAATTTCAGGCTACAAAAAAGACATTTTCTATCCATTTTCTAATAATCTTCAGTCTAAACTAAAATAACAAAAATTATTTTTGGATCATTTTAAGACAATCACTAAGCAAATAGTGGGTGATTCTAGTATTTATTACAACCGTTTGGTGGTAACAAAAGCACTGGAATCTCCGCGAATATTTGCTTCACAGACATAAGAAATATATCCTCATAAAACTTGAAATCTGTGCTTTTAAATGAACCGACTATACTTAAAAACAATTTGTAATCTGTATGAAACGAACACAAGGTACAGTCAGCCCTGCCAAACAAACATCACATGACAGCAACTACTCAAACGTGTAAATAAAGAACACTGTAACTTCTGAAGGAGATTCGCCATCAAGACCAAGTTGTGGATTACTTCAGAAGACCAGTGGGATCTGACAATCATTTTTGCAGAGGATGATCATGTGTAGAACAGCCATAAATAAGGTTGGTGTTATGATCTTGTTCGTTTCGAGTGCGCATATGCATTAGCTCGAACAACCTGAAAATATGCTGATTTTGTTTGATCAGGATGTTTAAAGGTAAAACCTATGGGACGATGGTTGTTTAATTTTATTGGCGATTCCTAATATGTACTATAATTGTAAGTTTGGCCAACAATTTTGGAGAATTTGATGTTTCCCCATTTGGACAGAATGTCCGGGCATACTGCACGAGAGGCCTTTCAAAGATGGCCATCGTGTGAAATGACTTGCCTTAAAAAGACTTTGTTGGTAGTTAAATACAAATGTAATTAAAGACCTACCCAGTTCTTATTTATTTAGATACTTTCAGTTTCGAAACTTTATCCATAAGCAGTTTTCTAATTTTCCCATTGTGCCAAATAAAAGTATACTTGATGATATACTCAACCATCATACCTCTTCAAAAGGGGTTATTTCTAAAATCTTTCCTATTGTTAACACAAAACAATCACTCTCAACACATGTACTGAGGGCTTTTTGGGAGGAGGAACTGAATTTAACAATTGAAGAAAATATCTGGGATCTTCTTCTTGCAAGAATACATTCATAACCAATAAACGGGCATACTCTCATTCAATTCAAGGTTTTGCACAGAATACACTCTAGAACTAAACTGAATGAAGTTTTCCCTGATCTTGACCCAACTTGTCTTTGGTGTAAAACCTAACCAGCCACACTGTTACATACTTTCTGGTCTACTTTGAAACCGTCTGATTTTTAGGGTAAAGTCTTCAGGTGTGTTTCCGCTGTTTTTTCATTACCAAT